GTCGGTTCGAATCCTTGTATTAATAATTATAAAAAAATTATGTAGGCATTTTTTAAAGGTAAGCAAATTACACATGAAGTCCTAAATTTCTATTAAACTATTATATGGCTTGTAATGCAGATTTCCTTCAAGAAAAACGATTTTCGTAATACTAAAACAATAATGGCGAACTGCGGGTGTTTATGAAAAATATGAGAAAATATATACTTTAAATTCTGAACAAATTTGATTTTGTGTTTCCTGTTCTGAGAATTCCGGAAGATATTTCAGTTTGAAGTTTTGGAGATTCTATTTTACATAAATTTAATAAAAACATTCGGTGTATTATTATATTAAATTAAACAATAGAAGCCCTAAACAGAATTAATAGAAGCTGAATGGTGACGTGAGTTTGTGTCGTGGCGAAACCTCCGGAAATGATTTTATACAATGATATGGTCAAAAAGTCAAAACCACAACAAAAGAAACTAAAGTTAATATAAACTGGTAACTCGGACACAAATTATTTTTTTGCGAAACGTGCCATCTGCCCCCGATATTGGGAACTTTTTTGTCAGTTTTACCACTTTCTCGAGTGGCTTATTTCGAGAAGGAATTATATACTCAATTTTCTGTAATAAAGTAGTTAATCTTTAATTGCAAATCGGTCAAATTAGTACATTTGATATTACGTGAATGAACAGTTGATATAACGTTTTTAAGTGGCTAGTATCGCTCAACGTTAGAAACTGACGGCTGTAGTGAACATCAGCCCGATTGCTAAATGCTGCTAATTAGTCATTTGAGTTTCTTTTAATATACTTTTATTTCCAGACTGAAACAGGCCTTTAGTATAACTTCAAAAATCTAATGGATTTCTTTTATCCAATTATGACATTTGAAGAAGCTAAAGAATTCTTTTAACAATGATTCCGCCATTGTTCCCTAAGGTTGGTCCTTTCCGAAAAATATATATTGTACATTATTATGTTTTTAAATTATAATACTCCGTTCTAAAGCATCTTCGACTGAGAAGAATGAGTTACGTGGCGTACTATTATGTCTGGTAACAAACTCGAAAATTTTTCTGTCCGAAATAACGTTAGTTCGAATTTTCATTACACTAAAAACCGAATTATAACGAAACAGCTGTTCTTTCAGAATATGTTGAATGTTTATCGCAAAGACACGATTAGGTTCGGTTAGGTTTGGTTAAGTTAGAAAAAACATTTTCCTCTCAAAATTACTTTCGAGATTATGAAATTTCGACCAAACGTTATTTCTGGAAAATGTCATTTCAAACTACTGATAGGTAACCTGGACACACACATGGGTAGACGACTACAAATTTCACCCAAACTGACGAGAAAAATAAATGAAGGCCATACAAATATTTCTCCCGGCCCGGGAATCGAACCCGGGACCTCTGCGTGGCAGTCCATCAAGGTGATCGTTCGGCCACTGAGGCAAATTTATCTCAGTCTTTTGCAGTTCTAGTTGCGCGCATGACGCACATGACCAATACAACCCCCAAAAATGAAAACACAGACCCCGCTTTTCCTAGGTAGGTTAGCAGCTAATGGTTATGGTAATAGCGGGACGAAGGGTTCTAAACTTAATTCCCGGCAATGGCCCGGATATAAAATATAATTCCCCGTCAAAAACGAGTTTCCGAAACATTGTATTAAAATTTTAAGAGTACACCTTCAACAATGTCTTGAAATGTTTTAGTTTCATGAAAAAAATATGTTTTACCGTTTTTGCAACAATGTACAATTACGTTTTATATTATTTTTTATACGATTTTCAATAAAAAAAACTTGCAATATCGACTTTGATTGTTATTGCTATTATCAGAAATCGCAACAGGCAAACATTTACCTAAAACTTCAAATAATAAACACAGAATGAACATATAATACCTCCCTTTGAAATATCGAAATTGTTAAAAATAAGAAACGAAAATTAAATAGAATGCTTTATGCGTATATGTATATAGTCACGGGACGAACAAGTCGTGCACCTGGTGGTCAGCGACACGCCTATCCATAACGTTGCAGTGCCACTCAGAGCATTCAATCGTAAAGATCTTCGGGGCACTGCTACTGCGCCCGTCACTCTGAGACATAAGTTGACAAGTCCCATGTGTTCAATATTTTCACCAGCACCTTTAACCCTTCCAAACTGGAATGCAAGGCATTAACCCTCACATTACTGCTTGGCAGCAGAAATTGGTAAGGTACTTCCCTGGACAAACAGCAAGAAGCTCTATTGCTACTAAACGTAGTAGAGTATTTCCACAAAAAGTATATAAATTTGCTAGTTAGCATATATATATATATATATAGGTATTGTAAACTCTAGTTGTATAATTTTCCTTGAAATTTATATACTCTGCTTTTTTCTATCTCTACTTATTATGCATACGTGAAAAGTGTATAGCTTGTCATAATGTTAGAGGACAATGGTCCGTAAAAGCCATAAGAACCTGTTTGGGATAATGAGAGGACTTCACTCCTATTGGGGAAAATGTATGATGATACACTCGGTCACGCAAGAAGCTACTTTATTAAACTGCAAAAAATGAGAGTTACGTTATTGAGAATGTGCGATGGAATTGCTCGATTTAATATCGTCTTCCCTTTTCCATCATCGGGGGAATAGACGTAGGCTTGAGTTACCGATGTCACCATATGATCCCCACGAAGCGTTACGCTTCTACATTCATATGGCGAACGGCTATGGAGTGGAATTCCCTGCCTGCAGACTTATTCCCTGAAGTTTATAACTATGGGCCTTTTCAAGGCGAGACTGAATAGGCATTATTTAGGTGTGCATGCTCCATGATGGCGACCTCATTATCACTTTCCATCACGTGACATTGGAGGTCAAATGCGCACACTAACTATTCATTAGGGATATCTGCGTATTTGTCAACTCTCATGCTCAACATTTTAAAACACGTAGTGAAGTCAATCAAAGGCAAATTAGAGCAAAAATAAAACACGTGGTGAAGTCAATCAAAGGCAAATTAGAGCAAAAATTACGAATCTTTTATACCAACTTCGTTGCCATAAAGTGACTTATAAGTATAATTGTTTCAAGTTATGTATAATAACTAACTATTGTTTAATAAATAATCAAATGAAATCATATTGTTACGAGGACATAATTTTAAATTACAATTGACAAAGTGGTTTTTGACAAATTGCTACTATAGTAATAAAGAATACTTAGAATATACAAATTCTGTTGTACATGAATTTGAAACTATAGAGACCAAACATTAAATTCCATTAATATTTGCACATCTGCTTGCAGGTTGAATGCAATGTACCCACTTTACTTAACATCTGTTTAATTACTGTAGTCTGGCAAATAAACCTGATCATTTTAAAAAATTAAGTAAAATTCAGTCAATATTGACCATTGAACATAATAAAGACCCCGAAATTGATTTGTTTGCAAAAAAACAAATATACGTAAATTAGACTAAAAAAAATAGTAAATTTCTAAATTTCCATTGTGTAGTCATCGCGAAAATGAAGAACTCGAGAAGTAAATTACAATTTTCAACATCACAACGACAAGGTTTACGACGACCCATTACTTACCGCCGACTTATTGCAAGCGACAAGAAACAAATTTTACAGGAGAGGGTTTTTTTGAATATTTTTACATATAAATGTGATATAAACTTAAATTTTAATATATAATAATGAATTTCGTAATCGATTCTGTCTCTATCTAAAGATTTTTGAGAATTTCAGGCGTTTACGTAACACTTGCGATTAAAAATATACAACAAGGTGCAACACCTCCTTAATTACACTATGATTTAATGTTGCCATTATTTGTGGATGATGGCATGGCACCACTGAATTAGGAATGCAGTACTATTTATTGAAATCCGAAAACTATTTACGTAATCTATGGTTTACGGTGTTGGTTATTCATTAAGTCACTATTTGTTAGTTACAGCTATATGTTTGTTGACCCCAATAAATTTAAAAAAATCCACCTCAGTAAGTATAAAATTTGAAGTATATTAAACATAGTGTATTAACTCAAAAAGCGTAGTGTTTCAGAATCGATGAAAAAGTAATTACTCACTTCCCGTGAAATATGATTAAAATTTATGTGTAGGTTAAGGTTTATTACAGACATCTAATTAAGTAGGAAATTGTGCAATGTTTAAAAATAAAAACAAAAAAATAATTTCATATTTTTCATATATTTTTTCTTTTTTATAACATCAAATGACGGGACGAACAAGTAAACGCCTCTTCATAACAGTTGCTGTACCACTCAGACCTTTAAATCGGAAATATCTAAAATGCACTGCCACTGCGCCTGTCACCTTGAGACATATATTGACAAGTCCCATGTGCTTGTAATTTCACCAGCACCCTTACCCTTCAAAACCGGTAACCAGTAATGCTGATATTACTGCTTGGCGGCGGAAATAGGTAAGGTTTTTGTCCAGAAACAGCTCAAAAAAATGTATCATCTCCTATAATTAGATGTCCTTCAATTGTTTATGACAATATTCTTTTTCGATTGTTTATAATTGAACGGTTACCATGCTGGTCTGCCACGCAAAGGGCCCGGGTTCAATTCTCGGGCCGGGAGAAATGTTTATATGGCCTACATTTTTTTCTCTCGTGAGTTTGGGTGTAATTTGTGGTTGTCTGGTTTATGTGTGTGTCCATGGCACCCGCTATGCAGGGTTTCCCTAGTGCAGGGCTACGAATGAGTTATTTATTTATTCCAACGGCCGGCGGTTTTATTGAAGTGTAGAGATTCAAACGATACGCATAAACTTCAATTTAACTTATTTTGAGTTACAACACTATTGTAATAGCAGTGCTCCTGGGCGAGCTCGTTCCATCGTAGATACTATCTTTGCTCCAGAGCTAGGTAGTGGTCAATAGTAAGTCCATTTAATAAAAAAAAAACTACTTCGTTAAGTGAAGGCTTAATTTTTTTTTCCGCCGGATCAGTTTGTGTATTGTACTTACGGTCTTGTCCAAAAGCCAGCTTCCCGGGAAAATCAGCGGAATGTAAGTGATCATATAAATCATCGAGGTCCAATAAACAGTAATACTGTTGACTCCGTAATACTTTACAATAGCGTCTTGAATAATGCTGTACTGGATCCATTGCATCGAGTTAGATGCCGAGTAGAACACAAAGATGAATAAAACTGCCCATCTTATGGGATAAACCACGTATTCAACAGGAGATTTTTTAGTGGGAGACTCAAGCACCCCTCCCTTTTCAGCCACCCCGTCCATAACACTCCCGCAAACTTCCAAATTCTTTTCCGCCATGTTTAAATTCGAAAAATCTCTCCGTAAAAATCCAGTAATGTTCTTTATTGTCGAGATTTATTATCGCTTACGTTATATACGTCTTAGACGCAATTAATTTTCAAATTTTATGGCACGAAAATTGACTAAATACAAGTCTATTATATAATAATAATAAATAAATAATTTGCTGAATCTAGACAACAATTAACGGTAATAAATACTTTTTATTGTCCATTACGCTTTTAAAGCTTTAAAGTGTATTATTTGCTAAAACTATTATTGTCAAGAATTTCCCGCGCGCGCGTTTTTTTTAAATTTTCCTCGATAGAGGTTCACGCGTGCGTCTCGCGCGGCTGAACGCCGTCGACTGTTCTCTCGGAGGCTGACTACGGCATCTCCCGTGCACCCTAGTTTATAACAATGATAAGGGCCAGACTGAATGTCTGCTTACAACTAAGCCAACGAGAGGTTACTTTTAAATTTATTTATAGATTTAAGTGTATTAAAATCATTAAATTATACAAATAATTATGTCGGTGAAGGAAAATATTGTGATAAAACATTTAAGTCGGAAAAAGGTAAAACTACTGATACCCAGTACGACACGTACAAGGATTGCTAAAGTTATGCCACCATGTAAAATACTCAGAAACAGTTCAACATAATGTATTATAGTTTCCTTAAAGTAAAACTTCCTGATTATGAATGAGTAATACGGAATTCCCAATATGCGATATGCAAAGAACAAAATTATACAGGCTTATTTGTAAAATACGACCTTGCAGGATTTTAATACTACTAACATTAATAAACAACCACATTTATTTGTTCCAAGAGTTCTAAATAATTAATCAGTTTTCGAGTATTCCGAGAATATCTCTACCTCGGGCAAACTCTGCAACTAGGCAGAGACAACTTCGATCGTGAAATAGCTAGGAGGGTGCAGCTGAATTGGGCAGCATTTGGGAAACTGCGTCATGTCTTCTCATCACCACTCCCGCAGTGCCTGATTACCAGGGTTTACAACCAATGCGTCCTACCAGTAATGACTTACGGAGCCGATATGACGGTCAAACTGGCTCACAGACAACACGTCGCTCAGCGAGCTATGGAAAGGTCTATGCTGGGTATCTCGTTAAGGATTAACGTTCGGAACGAAGTTATATATATAAGACTAAAGTTGTGGACATCGTCCAGAAATATAGCAAGCTGAAGGCAGTGGGCTGGCCACATCTGTCGCAGAACCGATGATGTAGGTCCTCCTGCAAGATGGACCGACGATATGAAGAAGGTCGCCGTAGTGGTTGGATGCGGAAAACGGGTGATACACTTGGGGAGGCTTATGTCCAGCAGGGGACTGCAATAATAGTGTACTAATTAATACTTGACCGAATCAAAAAACAATGTCAAGTATGAAGCTTCATTCGCGTCATGCTTCCTTTAATTTGGTAGAGTATTACTTATTTGACAGTAGGTAGTTGTTTCGGACCGATGTCGGAAGGAAAACTGGAATAGACTCCCTGTTTAAGGGAGGTTGCGCCTTTGAACTTATATCTTATTACCAAATAGATCGAAAAAGTGTCAGATAGTGCAACAGATTTTTTTTTGTAAATTTATTATTATTCAGTAACAAACCATGAAACTAAAATTGTTTCATAACAAAGATCGAGCACTCAGAAAAAATTCCTTCGATCCGGCCGGATTCGAACCGACGTCTTCTAGCATACCGTGTCAGACGCCATACCAACGCAACGGAACGAACCAGCGGACCTCACGAATTTTTCTATGTGTTTGTTGTCGTATCTTTGATACCTTTTTTGGTTAGATACCTTTACAGCTACCAGTTCCGAAGAGATGTAGCTATGCACTGTATTTAAATGCATATTGAATGTATATTTAATTTTTTTTTATGTGAAATTACTCCGGATTGAAGGATTTTTTTCTGAGTGTTCGATCTTTGTATTAATAATTATAACAAACTATAGTCCATCTGTTTAGGCACTTAACTAAATGTAAACAATCTTGAGATGTCTATTTAATGAAATATACATTTATAAAATGATTTTCCCTTACCTTCACATACAAAATACAAATACTTAGCTTCCTATGAAATTGCATGCCTATTTTTATACCTATTGTTTTGTAAAGCATATGTTTCAATAAAAAGATGTATCAAAATTGTTTACATTTAGTTAAGTACCTAAACAAATGGACTATAGTAGAGTAATTTCACATAAAAAAATAAATGAATATCAATGCAATATATGTTTAAAAAAGTTGTTTATATTTTTTATAATATCAAGTGACAGGACGAGTATGTCGTGCACCTCATGGTAAGCTACACGCCTGTCCATAACAGTTGCATTGCCACTCAGAACTTTAAATCGCCCGTCATTCAGAGACATAAATTCTCATGTGCTTATAATTTCACCAATGTTTATGATGATAATAATATAGTCAGGTGAGATTGTTATTATTTTAAAAATAACCCTGCATAAATACATAACACGTTTGTACATGTTATTAATTCCAGTTTTGTAAACGATCGGTGTTACGTCACAAACGTTTATCACAAATTGCAGTTTGCCATTTACGAAGCAGAAAATTATTGCTTAGCGAAAACCTGATCCAAGTGGTTTATTAAACAGATTCTGCGTTGCTGACGACAAATAACCATGGCCCCAAATGTGCTCATTATAAGTCGTCTCAGTTGTACGTCGATAGAGTCTCAGGATTTTGTACGTGTGGTATTCTGCAAAAAATTAAATGTAGTGGTATGTCTTAAGCCGGGTACTCATTAGTGAGCTGTCACTGTAGCTGACAGATACGGCAACGGAGCTCTAATGTGTACGCTTTGAACAGTTTTCAATTAGACGGCTCACTGCGAACCGCACGCGTTCCGCTCGCGAACCACGTACACACTATGATTTTTGGATACATAACATGCACCGGTTAGGGTTACAACTCTCTAGAGCGTACCTGGCTTAACAAGGTTCTAGTGTGAACGCGTGCAACAGGCTTCACTTAGAATGAGTACCTGGTTTTAGTCATCTCACTACGAACCGCACGCATTTCGCGACAAGCGCGCGAACCACTTACACTAATTTTCGGCTCATCCGTAGAACAAAGACCTATGTGCAGGATGCTGCCTATTCTCAGGACATTGTACATTACGTTTGTTGTTCTTGACTGTGTATATCCACAGTCAAGATCGACTGTTGTTCGATTTTATATTTCCGAAACGAAATAATAAATACATAAAAAAAACTGAAACACCTTTAGATAAAGCTTTTGAATAACGAGATTATGTTTCGTCCTCCTTGTGCTGTATAATCACATTCGACTCTGTTCTTCGGATGAGTCGTTTTGGTAACATAAATCTAGAATGAGTTATCGTCGACTCACTGCAAACTTCGCGACAAGCGATTAACGAGCTATAACTGGAATGTGACGGGTACAATAACGAGGTGCTAGTGCCTTCGCTAGCTAGAATGAAAACCTGGTTATCGTCGACTAACTGTGAACAGCACGCATTCCATCTGCGAACCACATACACACTATGATTTTTGGTAACTTAATATGCAACGGTTACGGTTATACTCGTAACTCCCTAGTGAGTACCCGGTTTTAAGTTGTCGTTTGCGAACTTGCCGCGAAATGCCGCGAACGAAATGTGTGTAGTTTGCAGTGAGTCGACGATAACTCATTCTAGCGAGTGAAGATTGTTTCACGCGTGCACACTACAACCTCGTTACTGTATCTATAACGTTACAGTTACACCTCGATAATGAGCACCCGGCTTTACTTACTAACCAGGGCGGAAGTGAACGGAGATCAAGAGAAGTATTTAAATGACAAAAGCAGCTATGAGCAAGCTAACGCGCATCCGGCATGGCAGAAAGTCTCCAACGTTACCAAATCGAGACTGAGCGTCGTATTCCAGAACTCTACTCAATACTCAAGTCAGGACTTGAGTATTGCAGTGAGCACTGAAAATCATGAAGTCCTGACTTGAGCAGACTTGAGTATGATTTCAAGCACTGGAAATACGACCCTAATAGTAAGGACTTCAGTATAATTTCTAGTGCCTTACATCGTACTCACTCAAGTCCAGACTTGAGCATTGAATACGACCCTAATGGCAGGGACTTGAGTATGATTTCGAGTGCTTTGAATCATACTCAAATCCTGACTTGAGCATTGAGTAGGATTAGGGTCGTATTTCCAGTGCTGGTGTTTCCAGTGCAATCCTGACTTGAGCATTGAGTAGAGTTCTAGAATACGACCCTTAGAATCGTAGACGATCCGTGAATCAGAACGGAAAAAACGGTTTCGAGATGTGGTGTTGGTAAAAGGATGTATATATAACGTGGACAAACCAATCCATACTTAAGCAGGTCAGTATCGCGACTTTCCACAATGCTATCATAGAATCATGAAATATTTTAGTCATATTACTCGCCGATAACCAGACAACCTTGACAAACTGGTTGTGATGTGTAAGGTGGATGGAAAGAGACTCCGCGGTCGATCACCTAGCCGATGGAGTGACCAAATGATCGCCCTCAATGGCCTCCCTATAACAACTGCCCTTAGAGAGACTGAAGACACAACCGGATGGAAGAAAATCGTACATAAAGTCTCGGGGACACAATCTTCAGCAATGATGACAACGACTAAAAAGTAGTGGCTTGTTAGTGGCCACCGAGCTACTATTTAAATGTCATTGCAATTTTTTTTTGTAATTACGATAATATTTGTTATTCTACTACAATCTAGTTGCAATGGTAGTTTAGTTTCAATAGAATGGCAGCGGGATGGCAGTGACGATATCATTCAATCATTAAGGATCGATGTGCATTCTCGTAAAAATCAGTCTTAAGAATGAGTATGGAATCAATCGATCGACATCAAATGTAATTTGTTTGCCAATGACAATTTGAATTTAACAGGTTTCTCGCTTTGTGTTTAGTTAATAACCAAGTTACTTTAGAATCTAGTTATATCACAGTTTAAAC